TCAGGAAAGAGGGCGTAATTGTAGGAATGTGGCTTATTGTATTGAAATGAGCTTGGGGCTCCACTAGGCACGTCTGCCTGGCGTTGCCGACTTGCCCGTTTACACTTTTCCCTTCGGAGATAATCGGGTGTAATTGCCCACTCCCGCGCCCGAACACGCGTGGGGTCTGTGTCCCTTTCCTCCAGGCCTTGGTTTGGTCTGGGAATGGCATGCTTTACACTTAACTGACAGAACTCGCGCCTTTGGAGAAGTTGCTCCGGGTGTTTTACTCTTAATAGAAATGAAAGTTCACAGCAGTGAGAAAAGAGTGCGGTCTTGCGAGCACAGCCTGCGGAGACTGACTTCTAAAGACACTTCTAGAACCTGTTGGAAGCTTGGGGCAGTCCTGGGAGGGAAAGCATTAGTCCTTTGATTCCAAAGGCCATTCTTGAAAGATTGCCTTTTATTTATGTCTCCGGATTCTCCAGAGAGAAGAGCTGCGAAGAGTTTAGTAATTGGAAAATTCGGGATTGTTGTCCCAGAGACTTAGGGTGCCAGGAGAGAGGGACAGGACGCCGGTCAGTCATTTTTGCGCAAATGCAATCCTGAATGTTCTTTTCCCACGCCGGAGAAATATTGTATGGAACCGAGTTGGGGAGAAAAGGCTTGGCAACAATGAATGAAGTTAGAGGTTATTCGAGTTGTCTTAGCTGAAAAAGATGCTCCTGGTGAGAGTATCAGACTCCTTAAGCTACGGAAGCCACCACACCCGCTCTCCCCCTCCTTTGCCCCCCCCCCGACCCCCACCCACCCTCTTCCCTGGGACCGTGCGCTCGCAGAAATTCTCCCCGGCGGTTAGTCTCCTCTCCCTCGGTCTTTCTGAGAATCTCTGTCTTTCCCTTTCTGTCAGTCTCTCTTCCACTCCTCCTGCCCCCGCCCAACCTCCGCCCCCGCACCCCCAGGTTGGAAACTCCGCGGAGGAGCCGGGTCACAATGGTGTGTTTCACGGTTTCCTCCACACACTTCACCACGGGGAGGGGAACACGGGGGTGTTCCTTTCGTCTGCCCACGAGAAAGAAAGGGGCTTTGACAGAGGTAGTTATTTCTTCCTAATTTACAACCCCAAGGCTCCGTGCTCCCAGCGCCGGCGGCCGCGAGCGGGAGCGGCAGAACGTGTTTCCAGGCGCCGAGGCTTTGCCTAGGTAACCGGCCGTTTAGGGGGGTGGGCGGAGAGCCGTGGGGCGCTCCACTGGGCTATAGGGAACGCCGGGTGGTTCTTTCACGTGAATGCCAGTCGCTTGAGGGGAGACCCTTCCTTGGGATGCGAACCTCGCCCACCTGCACGAGAGGCGGATGCTTGGAGAAAGGCGGCTTCAGATCCCCCGGGGAAAGGGTGGGAATGGGGTCACCTACTGGAGGAGGAGTGGGTGAGAAGTTGCTGGGGACCCCCCCCACTGAAGATGCTGGGGGTGGGTTGGGGAGAGGGGTTAGCGCTAGTTATAGCGATGGCAAGATTCGCCTTGTCAGTGTTACAGCGAATGCAGGCTTTCCATAGGATCGGCTGAGGCTGTAGTTGGGGGTGGGGGTGGCAAGGGATTCCCCAGTTTCCAGGCTTTCGAGAGCCTCCCAGACCTGGTGGCTCCCAGCACCTCTTTGCAGCCAAGCCCCGACGCACCGAGGCGGCGGAAAACAAAACTTAGACGACCTTCGCATCCCGCATACTACCGAGGTGCTGGGGTTTTGTTTTTCCCGGCTACAGGTACCCACTCCTCGAGCTCTTAGTGGGTCGGGGAAAAGGGGGCGCTATAGGCCGAAGTTTGGGGCAGTAGGATCCTTCCCCACGGCCAACGGAGCTGCGCTTCCAGCTACAAAGTTTCGCTGAGGCTGTGCTCAGACGCTCGTCGAGAGGTGCTCACAGAGCCGTGGAATGTGACTCCACGGGGCAGCCCGGTGGCCCTGAGCCTTGGAGACAGCCATCCTGGGGGTACGCCGCCCGCTGGGTTTAGGGGCCTCCCTCCGCCCACACCACAGCGGGGAGAGCCATGCGCCTCGAAGTCTTGCTTTCAGCACTGGGCCTATTTCCACTGTGCCCTTTGTTTGCTTGACCCCTGGCCCCAGAAACTCGCGGCTAATAGAAGCGAAGCTGCATTAGCATTTAGAATGAAAAGAGCAGACTTTTCTTAATTCCTCGGGGCATTCATGCATTCGTTCCGGACTTTGTGCATTTCCTATGTAACGTGTAAAATTTGTATTTCAGGAGTGGGGGCGGGTAGAATTGGAAAATGGCTATTTTCCGCTCGTGCACACTCACTGACCCCGGTACTCGGGCGGAACTCCTTCCTCAAGTGTTCTCCTCTCTTCGTTTTTCCTGACTTTTCGAACTCAGAACCAATTGTGGGGGCTGAGAGATCAATTTCTGGGCGATAACAGGCTGCCAGTTTTTTGGACTCAGTTCATTGTCACAAAACCGCGGAGAGCCGGGTACATGTGGACAACATTTCCTGGGTTTCTTCAAAGCAGAATGGGGCTTCATGCCCAGGGACTCCCGGCACCTTAAGCTCTGTTTCCTTATCCTTACATTCTTCGTAATTAACGTAGCATTCCTAAAGGCCCCTACCTCTACTGTGGTCCACTACGCTCAGTCCAGGCCACAGTGCCCCAGCCTGATCTCTCGGTGACCTCTGTCCTCTCTCCCGGTGCCAGCAGAGACCACTGTGGAAGAACGCAGCCCCGCAAGCCCCGGCCGGGAGACTGGACTCTCAGCGGAGCCGGGCAGCGCCGCCGCCGCAGCTTCGCCTCGCCAGACATCCCCACCTCCTACACTCTCAGCCTCTGCTGGAGAGACCCCCAGCCCCACCATTCAGCGCGCAAGATATCCTCCAGGTAGGTCGGGAGGCACGACCCTTTATTTCTCCCCCGCCGAGGGAGAGAGGGTAGGGAGTCACAGCTCAACTTGGCAGGCTGGTCTTCTTACCCAGCGCCAGGACAGTGACTGGTGGCCGAGCATTTCACAGCACAGGTGGCTTCCTAGCACGAAGCTTCTCTGGATACCACACCCTGTTGCTATCTAGTAGAGACACCAAATCAAGCGCTGTATTTATCAAAAAAAAAAAAAATACCCGTTTTAAGGAAAAGATATATATATTCTCTGGATACACACCCCAATAGATTAGGGCCTTATACACCTTAACATTTTACATTTTCCCTTTTACATCTAGTTTAGGCACTAAATCACTTCGAGCAATGGAAAGCAATTTTTTATTATTATTATCTAAATCATTTGAGGCTATTGAAGTTCACAGGAAAGAAAACTTTGCGCTGAAAAGCAAGGAGTCTATTTAAACTGGATAAAGTAAGGTTTGCAGGTTTGGATTATAACACCTCTCTATGCATCTATTGAAGAGATACCAGGTTTCAGGCCTGTGTAGATACTAAAGATATGCAGATAAATACAACCCAGTTCGTGCCAGCTCTTCTAGCTAGAAACCTCAAAAAGACACAAAGAGCAATAGGTAGGGGTTGGCAGTGTAAGAATGAGAGAAAAGACTAATGGAGAAATCCTAGAGGAGAGAGAATAGATGACAGTGTCAGTGCTCATTCTTTTAAATGATTATCCATTCTTTTCAACCCAATAACTGAACAGCAGGATAAGTAATCTTTTAACTTCTAACCAGTGAGGGTTTTAAAGGCCCTGAATGTCAAAGAAAGGCTTGAACTGGCCTCTCCTCACCACTGCTTCTTTCAACAGGCCCTCAACACTTTTTTTTCAAGTCAAAATTTCATCCTTTATATGCATGAGTCAATCAGATTTGTAAATGTGGATAAAAGAAAGATGTCAAGGGAAATGGGAAGTACTCACTTTGCTGTTAGTCGCGATTTTTATGCTATAGACTTTAAATGAATGTTAGAAACCTGGTTTTTTCTTTAGTTTAGAAATGCCAGCTACCAGAAACTCCCCGTTTTCCATTCATTTTTAGCCATAAATGAAATAACTAGATAAGTCATCCACTACAGCCATAATTCTCAGGGCCTCCTCATCCAGTTCAACCTCTCAATAATAGAAAGCATTCCAGATACAAGCCGCACTGGGGATTCAGCGTTGTCACGCTGACAAAATAAATAAACAAACCTATTTTAAAATTGCTTTTCTTCTTTTGTAGGGCAACTAATTCTTCAGACATAAGAAACTATATGGACAAACTCACCTGTTGTGATAGTTGTAAACTGTTGTCATAAATTGGGAAATATATATATATATATATATATATATATACACACACACACACACTATATACTATATATATACTATATATGTCAGAGCAGGTTTGGTGGGTGTTTTGTTGCAGCTGCTGATCTTTTTCTTTGCAGATGGTGAAAACTCCCCCCAGTCCATTTCCTGGGCCTGTGTTCCCACCTCACCACCTAGATGGCTGAAGTCATCAACTGGGGTCCAGTTTGGAGGAGTGGGGAAGGGGTGGGAGAAGGGAACCACAACATGTGTGGGTAGCCTCTGTTGGCACTCATAAGATGTTAGAATGTCACTGCCTCCCTTGGCCAGTAAGGCCTACATAAAATGCCTTAAAAAAAAAAAAGTAACAGGTTTATAAATCAAAGTGTGTGACTCAGGGGTCCTGGCCTCTTTCCCCCAAAATCAACCAAACAGGACATTAACTGGTTCTTTGCCTTCCCAACATGTAGTTGGGTCCACTTCAACCACTTTCTGAAAACATCCACGGGCTTGTGAGGGAATGATATGGGGGTAGGAGGGAGAAAAGTTGGGCACAGAAGACTGGCATTGAGCATCCGGTGATTCCTTTGACGCTCTGGGATTCAGCTTTCTTTCTAGGGAAAAAAGGAAGGATGGGAGGGAGGGAGCATCAGGCTTTAAATCTATGCTGCCACCAGGAGAGAAAGGTGTCACTTTCTACTTCCTAAGATTAGAGAGCAATGAATGTGATGCTCTCTATTGGTTAGAAAAGAGTGCTGACATGCTTCTGAGACTCTTTTCCCTGTCCCAGCAGATATGCCCTGCGTGCAAGCCCAGTATAGCCCTTCGCCTCCAGGTTCCAGTTATGCAGCGCAGACATATGTCTCGGAATACAGCCCGGAAATCATGAACCCCGACTACACCAAGCTAACTATGGACCTTGGCAGTACCGAGATCACAGCCACGGCCACCACATCCCTGCCCAGCTTCAGTACCTTCATGGAGGGCTACTCGAGCAACTACGAACTCAAGCCCTCCTGCCTGTACCAAATGCAGCCGTCAGGGCCTCGACCCTTGATCAAGATGGAGGAAGGCCGCGCGCACGGCTACCACCATCACCACCCTCATCCTCACCCCCACTCTCATCACCAGCCACCGCAGCAGCAACAGCCGTCCATTCCGCCCCCATCCGGCCGGGAGGACGAGGTGCTACCCAGCACCTCCATGTACTTCAAGCCGTCCCCGCCGTCCACCCCCACCACGCCGGGCTTCCCCCCGCAGGCGGGGGCGCTGTGGGACGACGCGCTGCCCTCGGCTCAAGGCTGCCTCGCGTCCGGTCCGCTGCTCGACCCGCCGATGAAAGCAGTGCCCCCGGGGACCGGCGCGCGCTTCCCGCTCTTCCACTTCAAGCCCTCGCCTCCGCACCCGCCCGCGCCCAGCCCGGCCGGCGGCCAC